GTTGAAGTGGGAGGTCATTCCAGAGCTTTGGGCCGGCATCATCAAAAGCTTGTTCACTGCGTGCTTTGTAACGTCATTCAGAAGTGGGTGGTCAGCTGATCTGAGTGCATGAGATGGTTTGTAGTAAGTGATGTGCGCTGTGAGATATGAACGTACCAAGTTATTAGGGATGGATTTGAATCGATACAATACCAGTTCCCGGTACCTATCAATCATTACCAGTACTTAACGGTACCAACTTTCGATACTTTTGAGTGTTTAATAATTATTTAAATCACTTTTTTTATTAAATCTATATAATTTTCCCAATATATAACCATACTTGACAAATATGATAATTAACATACAAGTGTTTGTATTTTATCATCGTACTGTTGTACAAAAGTCTTCAGTATGAAAACCTTTAGCAACTTGTTTCTAAATGACACAAAAACAAACCCAGCTCCATGTGCTCCTCATCCTCTTCTATGACCTCTGGAATAACTCTAATTAATTGAGGCACCACCCAGCCGTTGTTAGTGTGACTGGGAACACTCAAGGGGAGATTTAGATTTTGTTCAAGGTCATCAGTCTAAATTTTAACACCACAAATTTGTCTGAAAGCTGAGTTCTTGTCAGAATGCGTCGGCTATTCTCGAGATCACTAGAAATAATCAGGCATCATTTACGTTTTGTGAGTTTATTACCACATCAGTTACATTGACAAAAGGACCAAACACAGCTTATAGTTTCATGCATGGAATTAAGAAAATTGTTAACTGAAAGCTTTATGGCAGTGATAGGAAATAGCTGATGCGAAATAAAAGTGGAAATTCGGTGACACCAGGATTATAGAAAAATAGGTAATAATTTCTAAAGGAGGACAAAGTGAAATGTTCATGTGGGTTTAGGTGAAATGGGTGTGTGTGTGTGTGTGTGTGTGTGTGTAGGTGTTAGTATGGGTGCAGGAGGGGGTGTGATCATGTGTGTGAGTGGATGCAAATGAGAGTTGGTGTGTGGTCAGGGACTCATTATGGCAGAAGAAGAAAGGGGATCTTGAAGGCTAATGTGAATTTGGGATTGAAATAAAAACACGCCATAAAGAAATGGACTAATCTGAATTCACTAATCGGGCTTAGCACAAAAGTCAGCCAGATGAGATGCTTCACAGACCTTTTTCCGTCGCCAAAGAGGTGTCCTGTGGGCTGGTTCAGCCGGGCCAGAAACTTGAATGCGGCCTTCAGGGGCCGTAGGACTTTTTGGCACCTCAGCTTAGGTCAACGGTGTCTGTGGTATCTAGAAGGAGGTGTTCTCCCGTAGTGGCTTGACTCAAGGTTCCTTCACGTCAGCGGCCTCGAAATGTTGAATTCAGATCACGGGCCCAAATTATTCCAAACGGAGCCGAATCATCAAACTGTTCCAAATTGCTCTTACTCTTAATATGAAAACTCGACGAACATGCAGACTTCCGGTTTCACGTAGCAAGTCAAAACAAAACAACGGAGTTGCTTCTAAGTTTTTACCGTAAATTTTGAGAGCTAATTTACTGTAAAGCACCGGGTTCTGCTGGGCTAGATGGAAAACAGATGTGCTTAAGGCGTTCTTTGTTCTTTTCTCTTCTGCCAGCACGAGGTTTGCACTGTGGCTTTATAACCTTCTGGGTCACACCCACATGTATTTCACTCATTAACCACTGGACACTGGATGGCACTGTGGCTCTTTCGAATAACCTCTACCTTCTCCAAGATTGAAGGTCCATGATCACAATTTAACACAGTTATTCATATAAAGCCTCAAAAAGTGTTACTTTAGCATCAAAGTATTACTTTAAACGTGAAAGAATAAAATTCATGTCTTAAAACTGAACAGTTTTACCATTAGCATGAATTTTAACTGGACAAGCAAAAATTGGCAGAGGTTTAATCATAAAAGAAAAAACACAAATCAAGCAGTTAGGTTTGTAATTGATAAGATTTTTAATTAGAGCACCTTGATTTCTAATGGTGAACAAATCTAAACACCTTTTAACTGTGGATCAGGGTCTTGATAAAGACTAAATTCTGCAGTCTTCCAGAACATGCCCTGAGAAGGTTTTACAAGCATTCAAACCTTGGGGGAGAGTCAGGGCTTGGCAGGTTGACATGGACCAGACCAAGTACTGATAATGTCAGTCTTTTCGATTGCTTAAGAAGGGAAACAAACAAGTCACTTTGTAAAATTTACGTTCCTGGGAGAAAATGTAGTAGTTAGCCAGATGTTCGAACTGCGGGCCAGTTTCAAATTCCCCTTTTTGTTTTCTTCTGCTAAATGTGAAAGGAAAACCTTTGTGAAAATAGTTATGTTCTCCTTCGTGTGAATGCAAACAAAGTTAATCTGAGGATATAAAATGTGGATTTCCACTACAAAACCATGTATTATAAACTACTAATGAAACTAAAGCAAACTTCAATACCATACAACAGTTTGTATTTTAATATTGTGGTGTTCCACAAACTAAACCAGCTCTATGTACTCCTGGTTCTCTCCTTTCTCCTCTGGACAAACTGTGTGATGGTGGGTCCATGTAGTTTTAGAAACTGCAAAATACACTGAAGCAAACATCTTTGCTGTGAACTACATTTACTGAGTATCTTCATTTCTTTTGCCGTTCATTTTCAAACTGTTTTTTTTTTAGAGAAAGCGAATGCACCATTAGCTATGTACACAAACATTAAACTATCAAGCTAACGTTATCTTAAACTGTTTATTTTGCTGCTGGAGCAGATTAAGATGCCTCATATCCAGATCGTTGTTGCTGGTTGCATCATCACCAAATAGCCCACCAAACTTTAGAGCGCGTTCGCGGTCTTTTAGTCGGAATTTCGGCGTTCCGAGGAGAAAGCGGACACACCGTTAGCTATGTAAACAAAAACGAAACTAGCACGCTAACGTTATCTTAAACAGGTTTTTTTGCTGCTGGAGCAGATTAAGATGCCTCACACTCAGATCGTTGTCGCTGGTTTCATCATCACCCAGCAGCCCATGAAATTTAGTGAAGTGAAGCCAAACTTTAGAGTGCATTCGCTGTCTTCTAGTTGGAATTTCTGCGTTCCGAGGAGAAAGCGAGCACACCGTTAGCTGAACGGAAGCTAACATATCAAGCTAACCTTATCTTAAACATTTTTCTACCTACCGAAGCAGATGAAGATGATGATGCCTCACTTAGATCGTTGTTGCTGGTTTCGTCATCACTCAGTTACCCGTCCAATTTAGTGAAGTGGACTCAAACTTCAGAACGCTTCCTCTCTGCCATGCTGCTTTGTTTACAGTTCGCCCACAGTGACTGACGACATTACGCTTTTGCGCCGGCGCGCAGCATGGGTACCGAAACAAGGCACCATTTCATATAATGTGACAGTACTTGGTCGGTACTATGGAATTTGGTCTGTGCCTTAAAAATTACAGAATTCGGTACCCATTCCTACAGGTTATGGATGGATTTAAAAATAAACAGGAGAATTTTTAACCTTATCCGAAAGAGTACTGGTAGCCAATTTAGGTCAGCTAAAATGGGAGTAATGTGAGAACGCCTGTTTGAATAAGTGAGAAATCGAGCTGCCACATGCCAGTCACTAAGACACATATCCCGTGCTGGTCGTTACGTGCGTCTTTGTGGACAGGACTCTTGTTTTCTACAGCTGTGTTTTGTCCCCAATGCAGAAGTAACTTGTCAGAATATCCACTCTCGTACCGGTGGAGGTTTAATGTAAGTAAGAAAAGGGTCTTTAGCTGTTTTTAAAAGTGTCCAGACTGTCAATGCTATGTAAGGATAAAGGAAGATCATTCCGAAGTCAGGGAGCAACAGTCTGGAAGGAGCGATCACCTCGACTCATTTATCTGGTCTTTGGAACTTCTAGAAGGTTCTGGTGGGTGGACTTGAGGGCTCGGGTTGGAGCATAAGGCTTTAACAGTTCAGTAATATAGGGAGGAGTTTCACCATGTAGAGCCCTGAAAGTTATAGTCAGTATTCTAAAATGGACTCTAAAGTTTTAAACGGGTAACCAGTGCAGAGACATTAGAATAGGAGTGATGTGTGCTTTTCTGTTTGCTCCAGTTAGGAGCCTTGCTCCAGAGTTCTGAACCAACTGAAGGTGGTCATGGGCTTTTTTGTTAAAACATGTAAAGAGTGTGTTACAGTAATCTAGACGTGAGGAGATAAAGGCATGGATAACCATTAAAGCAGCCATCTGTGACATGAAGGTTGTATTGTCAACTGCAGCATGAAATCAACCGCTCAATGCTTGCAACAAGTGGGCGTTAGTGACCTACTTCCAGGGGCAGTGGATTCTGGATCTGAGGGTAGCTTCAGGGGGAGGAGCAGGGCCTGATGACTCACTTAGTTTCCATCAAGCTGTTTTGCAGGCTTTTATATAAAAAAAAAAAATCAGAAAACTTGCAGCTCAGATAGGAAAATGCATGAATGCAGCCAAAAATGGGTTTGGGTTATTTTTCATGAGAAAATAATGTCACATGGTACAAGGCTCCAAAAAGTTGATTTTCCATGATATGGCTTCTTTAAAGCATAGAGAATGAGAAGAAACAGGTAGTGGAAGGAAGAAAGTGGGACAAAAAGAAGTGAAATATTACCCCAGAAGAAAACACAGAGGAGGTATCCAGGAAAAAAATAAAGATCAAATTCATCAGCAACTCAGGGGAAAGTTTCCATGGTTACAGCTTCAAGGTTGTCCATTTATTTCCAAGAAACTTTTTCTCCCCATCATTTTTCACCTTTCCTACTTTTGATTAGTTCCCATCTTGGCTTTATTGTGGCTTTACAAAGGCCCGCGAAACAGACTAATGAAGGTTGGTTCAGGAGGGCAAGATTTAAGGAGCATCATGGGATAAACGAGAATGCCATTTTGAAGAGAAATGCATCACATCTTTTTATAGCTGATAAGCTTTGAGTGCTAATGAACCATCAATGTGAAAAATAAGCTGTGGTCTGAAAACAAACCTGTAACATTTGAGGCGTGTGTGTATACCTGTGTCCAGCAGAATGGAGCGCGTGGAAATGTTGATTTCCTGCAGGAGCTCTAGAGTTTCTGTGTGGAAGAGACGGATGGAGGAACCTTCAGAGAACGCCATCCACACCCCCCCGCCAGCACAGGCCATGTGTGTAACGCCAATCGCTGAGTTTGGATGGACTTCAAATTTCTGCAAATGAAGCAATAATTCTGTAACAAAACACAACCACACACACCGGAGAAAGAATAGATTTACGGAAAACTAAACTGTCCTTCAACTGAAAGGGCAACTCTCTCCGGAATCTTATTCTGGTCTTGAAAACAACTTTGAGGAGCTGTTCCTCCTACTTCTACAGTTTTACGCAAGTATTTTATTAAATAATTTAAATGTTCTCAGTTTGTTTTTGTATTCTGCCGTATTTAGAATATAATATAACTACTAAATACATTAATAAACACAAATACATCCAGAAGAAGCTCTTCGAGCTCTGGTTTGCAAGACCGCTATTCCTTTTCCAAAAACCTCCATTTCTGAGTTAGTTTACTGCTCATACCTTTAAAGAATGACTTGTTGACTGTATTTTGACGATGACTGATGAAATCAACCGAGGTGACCGTATAGTACGTTCTGCTCTTCCTCTAAACTTCCTTCTGCAAATGAGACTTAAATGTCCCTCGTAACTCTGCAATTTACAAGTCCCAGGCGCACAGAGTGTGTTTTTGCATCATTTCCACAGTCTTCAATCTTTTAAGAAGCACAAAATAGTGAGAATTTTAGGCACATGGATTTAATGAGTTGCTTGAAATAAATGTAATGAGCCTTATCATGGTAACACATGCAGCCCTGCGGTCTTGGGTGTGACAAGGGCTGGTTTGGGCATAATCTTGAAACTCATATCGCTGTCAATAAATAAGTTGAACAAAGCTGGGCAATCAGTCGGTGACAGTGACTGAGAGAGAATGAGACCCCCCCCCCCCCCCCCCCAGCCCCAACTGGAGAGCACCAGCAGACTGGGATTACCACCTGTTTGTGTGCCCTTGCCAATGGGCCCTCCTTTGTTTGAAATTAGGGGGAAAAGGAAAGAAACCTTTGATGTGTTTTCTCTGTTAATTGACTCTAGCAGGAAAACTACAAGTAGAGCATCTTCCTTTTTTTCCATAGTAATCAAAATATTAAATATCCATCACGAAAAGCCATATTTGTTACTTCAGTAACCCACTTTAACAAAAACAAGAAAGTGTAGTGAAGAAGCACTTCCTCCAGATTTTGTGTTCTGTACACAATTATCACTTTAATCATTATCAAGCATGGTGGCACTAAAAGTGACGTCCTGCTCATCAGTGGTTGACATACTGTTGTTACTGAACGCCATCTTGCCAACCATATGCTTAAAACAACCTGGAGGGCACTCTGTAGATAGACCAGTATTTTACAGGAAAGTTCTAAATCAGGGAACAAAAAACATAAAAACAACATTACTTGAGAGTTTTAAAGGTTTCTAGAAAGATTTTTTACAACAGGAAACTTCTCTCTGAGCTTCTTTATAGTAATGAAAATTTGTTGAGGCTCAAAATGGCCCAGGAATCCTGATAAATAGCCAAATACACCCAATCTTAAAGCCCAACAATGAAAAGCCTGTTTTACCCCGCCCACTAGAGCAAGGGCATGAATAATGATTGAACAGCAAGCTGATTGGCTGTTTTACCATGATGGCTCTATAATGCTGCCTGGGGTTTGAAGGGCAAACAGGGAACAGGACAATGGCTGCAAGCTGTGGAGCTATTCATCCTGGAACACTAGTGTTTCAACATTCTTCTTTTTCCACCAAGGGCATTAGCCCAGAATGAATCGCTCCTGTAGAAACTAATGAGGGATTGGGAGACATTTCAGCTGTTACAATAAGGTGTTACAAAGGTGAACGCACAGCGAGGAGATGGCTTATGGTTTTGATTCTACTAACGAACACAAGGGCGTTCTAAAAGCAGACAACAGAGCCCAGGGACACAGATCCCACCAGGCAGCCACCGGGATCAATCAGGCAGATGTCAAAACTCTTAAGCCCCCCAGCATGGGAGCTGCGAACACTCAGGCAGACCAAGGCACCACACTCGGCACCAAACATGGCAGGGGGAGGGCAGGCGAAGATGTGTAGCAGCACAAGAAGACCCAAGGGAGGGGGAGGGGAGGAGTCCAAGACCCCACCTGACATACACTGTATACAGTCATACACAGACACAGTCACACACTCCCTCCATCATGCACACACACACACACACACACACACACACACACACACACACACACACACACACACACACACACACAACCTACAAAAATGAACGCTAGACACCCACTCACGCTCCCCATACACACCCTATTCACTCTGGTCCCGGTACTGCTGCACATGGGTACAACCATCACCGTTCACCAGAGTTCGCCCCTTTCTGAACACCTATTTGAATAGAAATTACGTCATAAATCATAATGTTGGAGATGTGAGCTGATGTTGAAATAAACCAACTTTATGAAGAAACCTTGTACTGAATTGGAAATATTTGTGCAAAATACACAGAATTACAAGGCTTTACAGAGCAGTGCACTGTTAAATAAATTGTTGTTGACTTAACATATAAGCTTATGATAACATGATTCAATAATATTGGGTCGTGAGTCTAAAGTGGGCCAGTCTGAGCCCTGAAACCCCAGGGCTGAAAACGAGTCCCACTCCGGCCCTGCCAAAATCCCTCCTACAGTCCACCCCCAGCAGTGAGAAACAACAGCAAAGCTGGAGACACAAGCACTACAGCTGGTCTGAACAGCTCATTAGTCCTTCATTACAGCAGGTGACAAGGTGTCTTTGTCTTTTACTGAGAGGTGAGTCCACAGCTCCAGTCGGAGGGCGAGTCAGCTGAGTGGACAGGAGCGATGGGTGAAACCAAGAGGAGCAGAAAAATAATAGTAAAGGGAAGAAGTGGGAACAAGGTCTGGTGGTCAGTATTGATCAAAGCCTAGAAGAGCATGCATGTCCTACCATGTTAGTGTCTGGCACTGGAGCAAAGAAGACAGTACCTTGTGGAGTCAAATACTGAGCCATAACAAAATAAATCAAAAACCACTACTAAAAGATCCAATCAATCCCTATTGCTAGACTCAATTAGAAATAAAAATGTGCGTGATTGGTTAAGATACCTTAATTTTCTCCATAATTAAGCCGTTTTAAAATATGATCATGCACGTCAGTTCCTGCTGCCACTTGGCCCTTTAATTTGTCCTGATGAAAATAGAAATTGGGTTAGTGGCCTTTTTTCCAACCAAGTTTCTTTCACACATTCAGGCTTGTGTTGTGAAACCTTTAAAAACTAAATCAAATGTTTGCCCTGAACAGGCTTCCTGATGGAGAGGATGGAGTTTAGTCCTTCTAATGAATGGAAACATTGAGGACATATAAAGGTAACACCAGCAGCAGAGTGGCCCACGGAGCCATTATTTCATCTTTCTGCGTCAGATGGCTTTTCATACTAATCCATTCTCTTCAGAAGACAAGAAGGAAGTCATATTTTTGTTTATTCTATTAAAAAAAAGAACATAAGCAAATATTTTTGTTTCGCCAGTATTTGTCTGGTTTTGCTTCCAGACATTCAGATGATGCACAGTTAAGCAAAACAAACAAAAAAAAAAAAACCAAATTAAACACAAAAGAAAACATAAAAATACCACATTCAGCTAAATTTTCTTTCATCCATCCTCAGTGTTCACAACTCTCCAACTACTCCCACTTACGAGACCGTCGGTACAATTTCACACGATAAGGAGAGCTTATCTCAGCCGCTAACTGGGAATAAATGACTCACCAGACCATATCACACTCTCTTACATCTGAGTGGGACCCAGAAGCTGACTGCAGCAGAGATGAAACCGCTGCTTCTCTCCAACCGATGTAAAATATGTCAGGTGCAGTGGAAGAAATCAGTTTAAGAAAAAAAAATTCAATGCTTGTCATCTTGCCTTAAATATTGATGTACAGGTGGAACTAAAATTTTGTTTAATATGGTGCAAAAATTAATTTATTTCAGTAGTTTAATTTAAAAGGTGGAACTAATATATGAGACAGACTCATTAGATGTGAAACCAGATAAATCAAGCCTTTATTTGTTATAATTGTGATGATCAGTGCTGAGGAGAATACTTTGTAAAAGTACCTGCTTTATATTATATTTTGCAATAAATTCTGCTACTTTGCTTAATCTTGGTACAGTAATCTTGTAAATGCTTAGATTACTTCCCCTTAAAAACAGCATTTAAGTCTATTAAATGTGTTGGTAGCTATTCCTGCAGGAGAACAGAGGGTATATTAATGCTAAACATAATGTTTACTTATCAAAGTGTCAATAGATTAGATTTCTGTTTCTGTAATAATGTAAAAAGTACTTGGACATAGCACAGCATTACTGTCTGTCTGGAACCACAGCAGCTTCGAACATCTGGTGCCAGTCCAGTCATATCTGGTTCCAGTCCAGTCACATCTAGTGCTAGTCCAGTCACATCTAGTGCTAGTCCAGTCACATCTAGTGCTAGTCCGGTCATATCGGGTTCCAGTCCAGTCACATCTAGTGCTAGTCCAGTCACATCTAGTGCTAGTCCGGTCATATCGGGTTCCAGTCCAGTCACATCTAGTGCTAGTCCAGTCACATCTAGTGCTAGTCCGGTCATATCGGGTTCCAGTCCAGTCACATCTAGTGCTAGTCCAGTCACATCTAGTGCTAGTCCGGTCATATCGGGTGACAGTCCAGTCACATCTACTACCAGACCGGTCATGGGTGCCAGTCCAGTCACCTCTGGTTCCAGTCCAGTCACATCTAGTGCTAGTCCAGTCACATCTGGTTCCAGTCCACTCATCTGGTGCCAATCCAGTCACCTCTGGTTCCAGTCCAGTCACATCTAGTGCTAGTCCAGTCACATCTACTGCCAGTCCGGTCCTATCGGGTGCCAGTCCAGTCACATCGAGTGACTGTCCAGTCACATCTACTGTCGGTCCGGTCACATCGGGTGCCAGTCCAGTCACATCGGGTGACAGTCCAGTCACATCTAGTGCTAGTCCGGTCACATCTAGTACTAGTCCAGTCACATCTAGTGCTAGTCCAGTCACATCTAGTACTAGTCCAGTCACATCTACTGTCGGTCCGGTCACA